TGCTCTGCTAGAGATGTTTAAAGTCCAATTTAAACTCCCTCTCAAGAATTTATCCCTGAAACTAACTAATGTGTTACAAGCATCAGTATCTAGGAATGCCAGGGAGCTGATTCCTCAGGGTGTTCTAATTTTTAATCTGAGAGTTCTAAAAAATGCAGGTCTTGTCCAAGTTTCAATCATTGTTCAGCTCGTCGAATTGCTGATGACTTAAATACTTTATATTTTAATGAATACAAAGAAACTAAACCAAATTACATTACAAATATCAAAATTTTTTGAAAAATATTTAAATTGCGAATTTATATTGATAATTGTAATGCTATTGATAATCAATTATTTTGCTTTCGTGAACTAATTTACTGTTCTAAAATGCAACTTCCTTTAGATTTAAATAATAATCTTATATCTACTCCTTCATAATTTAGAAATTATCCTTTCAATATTAAAGCTCCTTAGATTTCTAAATTGTAATTTTAGGAAATTATTAAAGTTGTAATATAAGAGGTAGCTAAAAAATAGTGAAAAAATAAATACCATTTTCTGAAATAGACGTATTTGCAATTGTTGAGGGTTAAAATTATGTTAAGATATCTTTATAACGATTATCAGAAAATAAAACATTTTATCCTGCCTTAACATCCCATAAACGAATTGACTTATCTCCACTACCAGATGATAATTTAGTACCATCAGGGGAGAAACAGACTGAATAAACATTACTTGAATGACCATTTAATTTGGCTTTGTATTTTCCTGTCTTAACATCCCATAAACGAATAGACTTATCTTCACTACCAGATGCTAATGTAGTACCATTAGGAGAGAAACAAACTGATTAAACATAACTTGAATGACCTTTCAATTTGGCTTTCTATTATGCTGTTTTAACATCCCATAAACGGATAGACTTATCATCACTACCAGATGCTAATGTAGCACCATCGGGGGAGAAACAGACTGAATAAATGTTACCTGAATGACCATCTAATCTGGCTTTTTATTATCCTGTGTTAACATTCCATAAACTTATAGAGCTATCTGTATGACCAGATGCTAATGTAGCTCCATCAGGAGAGTAACAGACTGATAGAATTCCATTTGAGCTACCCTATAATTTGACCTTTTATTATCTTGTCTTAATATCCCATAAACGGATAGAGTTATCCCTGCTACCTGATGCTAATGTAGTACCATCAGGAGAAAAACAAACTGATTAAACCCAATGTGAATGACCATCTAACTTTGCTTTTTATCTTCCTGTCTTAACATCCCATAAACGGATAGACTGATCATAACTTCCAGATGCTAATATAGTACTATCAGGAGAGAAACAGATTGATTAAACATAATTCTTATGACCATCTAATTTGGCATTTTACTTTCCTGTCTTAAAATCCCATAAACGAATAGAATTATCATAGCTACCAGATGCTAATGTAGTGCCATCAGGAGAGAAACAGACTGAATAAACATGATTTGAATGACCATCTAATTTGGCTTTGTATTATATTGTCTTAAAATCCCATAAACGGATAGACTTATCATCACTACCAGATGCTAACGTTGTACCATTAGGAGAGAAACAGACTGAATAAACATGACTTGAATGACCCTCTAATTTGGCCTTTTATTATCCTGTCTTAACATCCCATAAACCGATAGAGTTATCTTAACTACCAGATGCTAATGTAGTACCATCAGGAGAGAAACAAACTGAATGAACATTATTTGTATGACCATCTAATTTGGCTTTGTATTGTCCTGTCTTAACATCCCATAAATGAATAGAATTATCAAAACTACCAGATGCTAATGTAGTACCATCAGGAGAGAAATTGACTGATAGGATTCCACTTGAATGACCTTTCAATTTGGCTTTCTATTATGCTGTTTTAACATCCCATAAACGGATAGACTTATTTTCACTACCAGATGCTAATGTAGCACCATCAGGGGAGAAACAGACTGAATAAATGATACCTGAATGACCCTCTAATTTGGCCTTTTATTATGCTGTCTTAACATCCCATAAACCGATAGAGGTATCTGAACTACCAGATGCTAGTGTAGTACCATCAGGAGAGAAACAGACTGATAGAACCCCATTTGAATGACCATCTAATGTTACTATTTATTTTCCTGTTTTAAAATTCCATATATAAACAAAATTTTTGCAGTTGAAAGCTAATGTATGATTATTAGATGAAAAGCATACTGATTAGATATTACTCTCTCCTATGATTGTAGACTTTATTTTCCCTGATTTCACGTCCCAAAGAACAATGAATTCATCATTGCTGCAAGAAGCTAATGTCTAACCATCTAGAGAAAAGCATACTTAATTGACTCTACGGCTATGCCCATTAAACTTATTTAACTCATTAATTCTTAAATTCTTCCAATTACAATTAAATAATTTGGCTTAATTCAAATTAATTCCACTAATAATGACATTGTCAAATTCGCTTTCACTTAAGTCACATCTAACTAAATTCGCTCCAAAAAGTGAAGTATTTCTAATTCTTATATTTATAAAAGATTCTTCACTTAAATTAACCTTCATGTAAACTAATAAATGAAGGGAATTTGATCCACACTATATGAATCTCTCATCTAAGGCTGTAAGATGAACTAAAAAGTATAATAACTCTATGATCTTCTTATCTTAGGATATTTTTGTGATCAAATGTTATTTAGTTTCTTCATATTCGTCTAAGGAGTAATTCAATTCATTAAATTAATGTTCCCTAATTTTTTTGAGAATATCTGTTATTCTCGTAATGTTCTTCTATTCTGCATTTAGCATCTATTCTTTATCAAGCAGCGATAAATTTTCTATCTTTTACCTTTCTATTTCTAAAATGAATTGGTTTTGATTTTATGAGAGAAATTCCAAGCAATTTTAAACTTTCTCTCTTTTTAATATTTTAATCAGGATAGGGTAGGCTGCTCCATCAGCTTCCTTAGACAAAGCCAAAATTCCATACAAATCTCCAAACTACTATTTTTTCCAATTCATTTTCCTTTTTTAAATAATATTTAATTTTCTATCACTTTATTTTGAGTTTTTAAATATAATTATTCTTGCATATATATTTTTAGAAAGGAAAACTATGTAAAGATTTGGAGTGACAATCCATATAATCTTATATGTAGTTTGTTTCTTTATGAATATAGAGTAATAATGCAAAATGCAATTTTTGTTGGAGTTGGTACTTACGCCCCTACTACTATAACTGCTTAAAATATGTGGTATCTAATCTCAACCTTGCAAAAAAGGGATTACATTTAATGGCCTTCTAGATAAGATAGAAGGATGAAAGTGGAGTATTTGAATTTTGATTTTAAAGCAACCTTAGGTCAAGCATAATGGTGGATGTGTTTGGATGAAATTTTTAATTTTAGAATTTTTGTGTTTGGAATTTATAAATTTTACGTTTGGATTTTTTGTAGGTTTTAGAGCTATTTAAGAATGCGATAGTTAAAATTTAATCTATATTTACGCATAAATTAACATTTAGTGGCTAAGTAAAAAATAATAAAATACAATTTGAATTCGATATTTTTATAATTTGATAAATAAACCAATACACAATACAAAGGTCATAATGTGTGATTTTAAAATAAATTATTAGAATTTCATTATAATTAAAGTTGTTAAATAAAAAAAATTATATGAATTGTTATGAATTTCTGCAATTACTCAAAATCAAACTAAGTTTTTCAAATTATTCAGTTTCATAAGAAAACAAAGAATAGTTGTTAAAGTGTCTGAAGATTTGCAACCTACTCATATTATAATTATGAGTTTGTTAAAAATAAGATGCGTTTATTGAATTATTATAAATATATACCCTAATGTATTTTATATAATTAGTGAAAATGATTCAAGAAAATCTAAATAGAAAGTTTGATTCCTGAAAGCTTTTGAATGAATTAAAAATAATTTTGTTTAATTATTTTTGATAATTTATCATTAAGCATAAATGCTTGAATCCTTATGATATAAGTAAATTAGTTAATTTATATTTCCATTTTAATTGTAGAATCTTGGTTTTATTATTAATTAATCTTGAACTTTGTAGGTATTTACAGCTTTACCTTCAAAAATTAAAATAATTTTTTTGAAGTAATAAAATTTCTACTACATATACCAAAAGGGATTTAGCCCTGGTATAACTCAGTTTCTGATATTCTGTCTGCTCCAGTCACAAAAATATGTATGTAATTTCATTCTATTAGCCTAATTCAATAATTATCGAGCCACCTATAAAATTAGCGAGATGTCCCATTCACCCAGTTACGGATAATAATTTAAATTTTTCAAAGGGTTACAAATTAAATGCATGTAAATATCATCAATAGATCATTATTGAAAATGGATAAAATATCACATTAAGACATTTAAGAATGTATAATAAAGTTGTCTAAAATTTGTATCTAAGCAAGCTAAAATTATTTAAAAGATGCAAATTGATGGTGAAAGCAATTATCTAACTACATTTTATCTTTGCGATTAGCTCATTTGTTTGAAGCACAATCCTCAATTCATCAACAATCACAACAATTAATCCTATCTTAAACTTTCCTAAATTACTTTTAACTCTTTGCTAGGAAGTAAAAGGATGTAGACTCAAAATCTTTTCCCAAGAATATATGTAAGTAAGTTGGTATAAGAAAATCTGTAGTCAGGTTCAAAGGATCAATCTAATAGTAATAGTTAGTATTATAAGGAGAAATAGAGTTATCAAATGAAAGAATAAGTAGAATAAATTAATAAACTAATTTAGAATCAAAGTATTCTTTGAAAATAAATTAAAATAAAAGAAGAATAGAACAAATACTTTAAGGAATAAATTAAAAAAGAAAATCTAAATTAAGAATAGAATTTAAATAATTTTGCTCATGCTTTAAAAACATTATTTAAAATAGCTGTATTTCATTAATGTTGCTGGTGTAGTCATCTTAATATTAGAGGTAATTACTTTTTCATAAACACATCAAATATCCAAGTTGCGAAGTAACATAAGATGGAAAGATGGTTTAAAATGGCTATTATTGTCTATTTGATTAAGTCATTCCTAAAAATGGAGTGACATCATTTGCATTCAAAATAATTTAATTAAATTAAAGTTGTTTAATAAGGGTTGGGATGAGAGAAATAATATATAAAATAATTATTATGGAAGTGTGTTGGTATTCGGTTTGGGTAGTAATTTATCATATCTTATTAGATAATATACAATAAAATAAGATAAAACTGTTATTCACATCATAGATAAGATAAAAATGGTAAAAACTATCATTTTATTTTGAGAATAAATCATATAATAATAGAAGAAGTTGGCATTTAAAATAGAAACATCAAATGTGCCAAAGTAAATAGAAATCAATCATAATGTAATTATCCTAACACTATTATATAATAGAATCTTTCAATAGAAACAGCTTATGATTTTTAACCATGTTTATGGGTGAACCAAAATAAGGTATAAATAATAGATTAACTATTATGATAAAACAAATTGTATGTAGATGACTATAGATTTACTTTTTCATGATGACTTTACAAATAAGCTATTATTTGAACGAACAAAAAACCTAACATCAGTAATTAGAAGTAAATTATAAAGTACGCTTCACATAATCTGTTTATTCTCAAAAAGGTCAGAATAAATTCATGTTATAAAATTAAATAATTTTCCATTAATAAATAATTAATAATTGGGTTATCGATTCAAATAAGAACTTAAAAAATGCCTTTCATAAATAAAGAAGTGATCCATATATTTATCTATCAATCTCTTCCTCAGTCTAATCATAAAGAAACTGTGAATTTGTTACATAAACTCATTTGCAATATATTGCTATTTTTATTAACTCTTTTTAATTAATTCCAAAATATACCTGTAAAAAATAAGCGAGTAACATAATTTAAAGAGTCTTTATCTATTTGTTCTAATATTTTGGGCTATTATCTAACACTATTACGAATTCTTATTCTTTTAAAAATTATCTAGCCTATTTTATTATTTATTATAGATGAAACAAGTAAAACTGAGAAGTCAACTTCCAGTAAGGTTTTTGTTGACCTTTTAACTACCAATATTTTATTGATTTATATGAATCACGAATGGTAGTTTCATCAATAAATATAAATTTTGTTTTCAGAGAACTTAAGCTTAAGTAGCCAAGAGAGTATTAATATTAATTTTTGCTAGAAAATCCATCTTATTACATTCTATTTATTTGTTGTTTCTTCTCGAGATCATATTTTGCAATATTTCTTCAGAATAATTTAACATTATTTTAAAGATAATGCTGATTAAGATTAACTAAATATTTCAAAAAATTTAGAATATAGTTTCTTACTTTATATGAATTCTTTTGAGCTCTTTTACTTGATTTTTAATTCAATTCATGTGAGTTTAATTCAAATTATATAATTTGATTCATGATTCTTGTCTTCCAAATGGTTTTTAAGATTTATTTATCGAGTAATTAGCCAGCAAAAGCCTTTGTTGAGTATCCGGGTTTACAATATTTTGCAAGAGAATTTTGAATAATATCCGTAAGAGGTTTAGCATTCATACGTGCAGGCAAGATTTTTAGGCATAATTATTTATCCTCTATTTTACATTATTTTTTTCGTATTGATTATACATTATGAACAAGAAGAAGAACCAAAAATAATTTTTTTTAATAGAAAATGAATGATTACAATCAATTATTGTGTTTCACTGTAATAAACATTTTTTATAATTTAAAAGTAAAATATATTCCAAATTTATAATGATGTGAGTTAAATAAATTTCTCTCGTAATAAAAATTTCCCTTTATTAACAAAATTTATTTCAAAATCAAATTTATTTAATGGCAATTAGAAATAATAATGATCTTCATATGGCCTTCAAAATTATTTATACTAATTACCTTGCTATTTTAGGCCTATGTCACAATTTAGGAAGGAAATACAATTTTTAGGCTATATTGAATCAATATTCACGACATTAATTAAAAGAGGAATTTATTTTTCAGAAATGAATTCTGCAGCTGTTATATCTTAGTATTTTCTCAATGATGGGTTAGGGAATGTTTTGGATTAGCAAAACATTAGATAGTTTAATTGTTTAAAAAGATTTTAAGATTAATTTTGTTTAAAGAATTGGAAAAATGATGAAACCAGCAGCAATAAATAATAGGAATTGAAAATGATAAACTACCAAAGAAAATGGCTCATCATATACTTTGCACAATGAATTATGAAAATGAAATATTTTAATCTTATCAAGATTCTGATAGAATATTTTGGTTGACAAGATAGAAAAAATTAAATAGGTTCAACTCTTATTACCTGGTCTTGTAAAGTAAAGAGTCATTCAATAGGAGGAAACGGTCTTTAATAAAGATTATGATTTGAATATTATTTGTGTGAAAAACTAATAATAATAATATAGAGTAGATCATTTGAGAACCGGAAAGCCAGAAGGACAAGCATCTTTCTCATTGCTATATCATTGTCTTGCCCAATAATGACAGCACATCGCAGAGGGAGAAAAATTAATAAATTATCAGATATCTCTATACTTTATAATGATGTACTTAAAATTAGGTGTTTATAAAAGGAATGATAATAAATGAATTTGAGAAGCATGAACAGGAATAATTTAAAAGGATATACTATTGATTATATATATTTTGCTTTGATGGCTTATTTCTTTAAAAAGCAATAAATTAGGGCCAAGAAATAATCTTGGCATTTAAATATAGATTCAATTTAATAAAATTTATTTATTATTATTCAATTTATTTTAGATTAATTATATAATAATCAAATAATTAAACAAATTATCTTTAGAATATATATTATAGAAGAGTTGTTTTATCATCTCTCATTTTTTAATTTTTTCACTTAAAAAGAATTTTCTTAAATAATTACATAATTCTTAAAATTAATTTATATATTTTACATTAAATGTGAAATAATTATTAAAAATAAGGTTAGAATTGATTTGAGAAATAAATATGTGTACATCAGAGGCTTTATTTAGCTTGTTAATTTTTTCCTTTCATCGCACATTTTTGTTTTAGTATTGTTTATCACTTTTAGTATTTTGAATAAACCTTTGCTGATATTATTTCCACTCTGAAAGCAAAATGGCCTAAAATTTTCTCGACATTCAGTGATTTTATTGCTTTCTTTGTCATCTATGGTGAAGCCTATTCTAGTTAGCTTATTATGCTAAACCAATAATTTCTATTTAAGGTAAATCTATCTTCCTTTTCGCGTTGTAAAGAACAAATTTATGACTTTTATAAATCTATTAATATGAATTAATGTCACATATATGTTAACTTTGAAGCTGCCCAATTCAGTTATCTAGAGGATCATTTCATTTTTTTTAAATATTCCCATAAAGGAAAACATTATGATGAGAAGGACATTTTTATCAACTTAGTGTCCTTCTACAAAATAAAGGAAATATCAATAATGGTAAGAAGAGCAGAGGTATGCAATATGAATGAAGTGCGCTGCAGTTAATTGAGTTTTAATGATGCAATATGAACACACAGATTCATAATTTAAGCGTAAAATTGGCTTTGTCATCAACAATTGGATGTAAATTTTCTTAACAAATGGCATATAAGACAAACTGAGCAGGCTTTGCTATTTGCAAGAGTGCAATTAGTGTAACATTAAATTTATGCACTCTAATTTAAGAAGGATAGTTTTAGAAATTTAGTGCAAACTGAGAATGTCAGTGATCATTATTCTTGTTCTTGATATTTCCAATAGGGGATGTAAGATCATCCACATAAGTTGAACATGGGACACATACATACAGTTTAATTAAATAAAATCTACTATTTTAAAAAGTAAGATTATTTCTGAAAAAAATAATAGATATAGAGTGGCCCTAAAATTGCAACCATTAATACAAGTTTAGCAGTAAGTTTTTTCAACACTTGTTAAATTATTAAAAGTTAATTTTACAACTGAATTATTGTTGGCTTAGAGGGTTGAAGTCTGTAGTTTAATAAATTTGAATAGTTTTCTCAAAGATACAGAGGCCTTTAGCATGACGCATTACAAAATATACGGTGTGATTATTGTTGTTTTTTAGGAATATTACATAATTGGCAATTGTTAGTACTTCATTAATCAGGTCTTTTAATCCAACTTGTATTTAACTGGGATGTGACAAAATTGGAGGAGCAAAAGATAAGTTCTGAGTTGCCATAGAAGACAATTCTAAGGTATAGCAAGTTAAACTTGAAAATTTATCAGTATATCCACCTTAGATTTCAGTTTCAGATACTTTAGCATACAAATAGTACTATTAAAGAAAAGTATTTTAGTACTAATAAGATTGAAGACAACGGTGATTGAAGAGCATTCAAGAGAGCAATCAGTATAAGTCCTTTAATCAGCTACTATAATATAATGGGAAAGATCGTATAATAGAGTACATAAAAACAATTTGTGATACACAGTTAATATAGAGTCTAACTTGGACGGTGTTCAAAATTTTGGGTGTTTGAAGATCGGTTTCAAATGAGAAGCTTAAGAGTGCTTATTTTGCACTCATAAGCATTGCTTTGGCAATCCACACATGGAATTGAACATTATTTCAAAACAGCAAAGATTTGGATATACTAAGAATATCCATAAAGAGTAGTTATTTATGATATTAGCTGATGGACTTGGCAACTAATAAAGAACATTGGCAGAGGGTTTTGCATTAAACACATTTAGCAGATGCTTGTAGAATCCAGAAATACATATATCAATATTTGCTCCCTTAGTATCTCAGCATTAAATATAAGGCAAGGTGAATTGCAAATGGATCTCATTAGTTGGAGAAATCATTGTAGAATTCATCTAAACATCCATACATTAACCACCAGTGGCTAGATTTTTGTATAGTTTTTATATTATTTTGATCCTAAATCTACTTGCCAATTATTTTCTAATATGTCCAACTCCGTTTGATAGCAATCATTGGAGCTACAGAAGGTATAGATTAACCTTTAACAGCAATATTACATCGCTTAATAAATTAATTACACATAAGAAGAATCTTTTTTGTTTGCTCTGTCCCGACAGCAGAATAAATTTGAGGTTATTTGTTTATTAATTAATTTTTAGCTTTTGAATTTTAAATTGAATCAGCTAGTTAAGGTTTAAATCTAATCTTTTAAGATACTTTTGCCCTCTGACTGTAATGCTTCGTTTAAAGAAGGTATTAAAATTTAATTTTCATATAGAAAATAATATGATAATTTAAAGGTTTTATTTTACAAGATCGTAATAGGATAAAAAAGAGGAATAATATTGTAAATTTTATAATGTTAGATAAAAATCAACTTTGCTTTGATTATATATAGTTTTCCAAAATGCAACTGCCTCCTTATACAAATAATGTCCTTAAGTCTATGCCAAATTGATTAATAAATTATCCTCTCAAGATTAGAGCACCTTAAGACTAAAATATTAACTATTGTGATAGTATCATTATGATAATAATCAGAGGAGCTAAATAATGTGAAGATACATACTCTTTGAAAGTATGTTGGTTTGGACTATTGGGACATTAAGTTTTGCCTAAATTTCTTTGTAAAGATTATCTTAAGGAAAAATTCGTTATCCTGTTTTTATGTCCCAAATGTCGGTAAAGTTGTTTCCACTGCTTTGTGCCAATACCTAACCATCGGGAGAAAAACAGATTGAATAAGAATTGTTCATATGACCATATAATGTGGCTTTTTGTTATCCTGTTTTCGCATCCCATAAAAGAAAAGAGTTATCATAACTACCAGATGCTAATGTAGTACCATCGGGAGAGAAACAGACTGACAATATTCCGTTAGTGTGACCCCTTAATTTGGCATATTATTATTCTGTCTTAATATTCCATAAACGGATAGACGTATCGTAACTGCCAGATGCTAAAGTTGTTCCATCAGGAGAGAAACTAACTGATGTAATTTCACTAGTGTGACCATGTAAAATAGCTTTTTATTAACCTGTCTTAACATCCCACAAAATGATGGAGTTATCATCGCTACCAGATGCTAATGTAATACCATTAGAAGAGAAACTGACTGAATTAACAGAATTAGTATGACCAACGAATTTGCCTTTTTATAGTCTTGTCTTAACATCCCATAAATAGAGGGAATTATCTCTACTACCAGATACTAAAGTGGTTCCATCAGGAGAAAAACAGACTGATGTTATTTAGTTTGTTTGATTGTCTAATATAGTTTTTTTTTCTCCTGTCTTCACATTCCACAAAATTATAGAGTTATCATAACTACCAGATGCTAATGTAGTACCATCAGGCGAAAAGCAGACTGTCGTAATACAACTAGTGTGGCCATCTAATTTAGATTTTTATTACCCTGTCCTAACATCCCACAAAAGAATAGACATATCATAACTGCCAGATGCTAATATGGTTCCATCAGGAGAGAAACATACTGACAATATCCCATAAGTGTGACCATATAATTGGAGGTCTTATTATCCTGTCGTAACATTCCATAGACGGATAGACATATCGAGACTACCAGATGCTAATATAGTACCATCAGGAGAGAAACAAACTGAATTAACAGAATTAATATGACCGTATAATTTGGCTTACTATTATCCTGTCTTTACATCCCATAAACGGATAGAGTTATCCTTATTACCAGATGCTAAAGTAGCACCATCAGGAGAAAAACAGACTGTATTAATAGAATTAATATGATTTTTTAATTAGGCTATTTATTAGCCTGTTCTTACATCCCATAAACGGATAGAGTTGTCCTTACTACCAGATGCTAATGTGGTTCCATCAGGAGAAAAACAGATTGATATGACATCATTATAATGACCATCTAAATTTCCTTATAATTATCCTGTTCCAACTTCCCATAAATTGATTGAGTTATCCTTGCTACCAGATGCTAAAGTAGCACCATCAGGAGAAAAACAGACTGAATTAATACAACTAGTATGACCTTCTAAATAGCCTTTTTATTATCCTGTCCTAACATCCCATAAACGAATAGATTTGTCCTTACTACCAGATGCTAATGTGGTCCCATCAGGAGTGAAACAGACTGATTTAATTTCGTTAGTGTGACCATCTAAAATAGCTTTTTATTATCCTGTTTTAACAACCCAAAATATGATTGAGTTATCCTTACTACCAGATGCTAAAGTAGCACCATCAGGAGAAAAACAGACTGAATTAATACAACTAGTATGACCTTCTAAATAGGCTTTTTATTATCCTGTCCTAACATCCCATAAACGAATAGAGTTGTCCTTACTACCAGATGCTAATGTGATTCCATCAGGAGAGAAACAGACTGATGTTATTCCGTTATTGTGACCTTCAAGTTTAGCTGTATTTTATCCTGTCTTTGCATCCCATAAGCAGATAGACTTATCGTTACTGCCTGATGCTAATGTATTACCGTCAGGAGAGAAACAGACAGAGTTAATTTTGTCAGTGTGACCATCTAAAATGGTTTTGTAATATTCTCTTTTAACATCCCATAGACCGATAGAATTATCATAATTGCCTGATGCTAATATGTTTCCATCAGGAGAGAAACAGACGGATTTAATTCCTTTAGTGTGACTATCTAAAATGGCTTTTTATTATCCTGTTTTAACATCCCATAAACGGAGAGAGTTCTCGAAACTGCCGGATGCTAATGTAGCACCATCAGGAGAAAAGCAGACTGAATTTACGCAACTTATATGACCATCTAAAATAGCTTTTTATTACCTTAATTTAACATCCCACAACCTAATAGAGTTATCATAACTACAAGATGCTAATATTGTACCATCAGGGGAAAAACAGACTGCATTTACACAGTTTGTATGACCATCTAAAATAGCTATTTATTACCCTGTCTTAACATCCCATAAACGAACAATGTTATCAAAACTGCCAGATGCTAATATAGTCCCATTAGGAGAGAAACAGAGTGACAATACAGCCCTATCACCATCTATTTTAACTTTTTCTTATCTCGTCTAAACATCCCATAAACGGATGGATTTATCTTCACTGCCTGATGCTAATGTTGTACCATTAGGAGAGAAACAGACTGTATTAATACTACAAGTATGACCATAAAATCTTGCTTTTTCTTCTCCTGTCTTAGCATCTAATAAACAGAAAGAGTTATCATCACCGCAAGATGCTAATGTAGTACCATCAGGAGAGAAACAAACTGAATTCACTTCCATATTATAACCATCAAATTGCTCGTATTCTTTCCCTGTTTCAATTTCCCATATGCGGATTGAGTTATCCATACTGCCAGATGCTAATGTAGTACCATCAGGAGAGAAACATATTGAATTAACCCTATATTTATGACCTTCTAATTTATGTAATTAATGTATTTTAATATTAGTCCATTTACAATTAAACAATAAGGCTCCATTCAAGTTCACTCCATCAATGTGTACATTATCAAAATTGGATCCATTCAAATTGCATCTTAAAAAATTTCCACCAATTAAAGAGGTATCTCTCATCCTGATATTTTCAAAGTTTTGTTCTCTTACATCTGCCTTCATCTCTACTAATAAATTGAGCGAATTGGATCCACATTAGATAAATGTGTCATCAATAGCTGTCAGACGAACTAGGAATTTCAAAAATTCAATGATGTTCTTATCCAGAGATATCTTTTAAATCAAATCTTTCCTAATGAATTTTTTTTTTTCTGAAGAGTAATTCTCCTTGAAAAAATCAATTTCACTAATATTTTTGATTACACTAGCTAAGACTTAAAAATTTTTAGTTCCATTTGGTTCCAAATTTTTTGTGCTTGAAAAATACTTGAGACAATCTGTGATATTGTCTCTCTCTAACATTTTAATAATAAAACTGTAGACATGTGTATCAAAATCTTTAGCTGAAGCCAAAATCTGATACAGATTTTCATTCTAATCTTATTCACACCTCATCTGCTTTTTTTAAAAATAATATTGGACTTCTATTATTTTATTTTAGGTTTTATCGTATAAACCGAAAAATGTATCTTAGATATTTTTGTTAAAATGAAAAGCAAACTTGTAAAGACTTTGATTTGATTCATAAAATAATAGTGACCACTCACTTTAACTTGTGCATAGCCTGATTCATTTTAAATATAGAATAATAAAAGACAAAACATATTATTAACAAAACACAAGCTACAAGAGTTTCAATTAATACATCAATACCATAGTTCCTCTCTATCAATGATTCAACTTCCAAATAGATCAATGTACTTCTTTCCAGATATTTTAGAGCTTTATATTAATTATTGTGAATTTATAAATATATAATCTGAACATTTTTAGAATTTGTATCAGATTTTGAACTTTTTAAAATGTATTTGTAATTTTTAGCTCTTTGAATAGTAATTCTCAATCTCTACAAAAAATTTAATCGTTAAATTTCTAAAAAAAATAGAAAGGTTTGGAATGCTACCTTTTGTAGTTAATTAAGAATTCAAAATTTTGATTCAAAGTTTAAATTAAAAGATTGCCTTGATATGTTTGTTATGCTAACTTTGAAAAGGTTTACATCAAACTTTCCAATTAAAAATAAATCAGAAAATTTAGAATATCTACTTAGAGCAATATAGAGGGATACGCGAGAGTATTTTCAAAATTTTTGAGGAATATATTAGTCGTTACAAATTGATACTCAAAGTAAATTGGAATACTTGATATTCTTCTTGCAAATAGTGAGAATTGGAGGTCAGTCAACACAATAATCATAAGTCTGCTTTAGATCCTATAAATAATCTCATTATCTAAATTTGTATGCTTCATCTGCTTCTTGTGTCAGAATAATACATCAGTACTGAGTACTAGCTTGTATTTCCCACATGTTTATCATTTATTGCAGAAGATGCATGGCCTTGTGAATCATCTTAAGCATTCATAACAATTCACTTAATCTCATAATATTGATCTAAGATTTTTATTATTTAATCAATGCTACTAAGATAGGCCATCTCCTGTCAAACTAGCTACACTGTTTATGCTATGATCTCTGATGTATTTTGTGATTACTGAACTTGTTTAGTTGCAGATGCTGTAATGATTCAATCACCGCTGCTACTAGTTCATCAATTATAGAACTAAATCTGCTCAATAATTTGGTGATGACTTCTTTGTTACCAAAAATCTTTGAGCTGGTTTATTTTCATGTTGAGGTTATGGAAGGAGATCCTGAATCTTTCATCCACACATTAATTTCTAAATAGTATTAATGGATTATACCTACTAGATTTAATTTAGATGTACGTGGTTTTAAGAATGTTGTAAATTCTTATGCTGTTGATGTTATCATGGCCCTCCTCCCATCAGTTATAGTTGATCACTTTGATTAAAATGATGCAACTTCTGTTTCGAGGCGTTTTTTCTATTGATGATGCTATTAAAGTAGCATACCAAAATATTTAATGTGTGTTACAGTCTATAGTATTAACTACTTTAAATTGTTGGTCTTGTTTCTAAATTGAAGTTGGAGTTAGGATTCAGCTCCAACATTCAAAAACAATTTCCAGCATGCTCCAGCAACTGTGTTATTCCTTTCCAAAACGTCTGCCTATTATTCAGGGAAAAATGTAATGCTAGAGAAGCAAAATTGCTAAATGAGATCTCATTTTCTCAATTTAATTAACTTGTCTAACTTGCAAGTATTATTGGCACCAATATGCCAAGTTTGCGCCACTTATCGTGCTATATAATATTACTTAAATGTATTTTTTTCGACAAAATGCTAGCCCATTCTTGCATGATATATCATCAGTTCAAATGATACAGCTCTAAATGACTTGCGTCATTTAAGAAGAGATCCATCTGCTAGAGAGGCGCTAATACTGTTTAGAAGAAATCTTCGTTCTTTTTATTTATTTAGTTTACACAGGGCATCAACTTTCTTGTGAAATTAATCCCTGTACATAATTTGACAACTTTACAATTTATTGTTGAATTCCAGGCTCAAATTAACTATCTCTTTTCTCTATTATCATAAAATTATTCACTAGTACACCTTACAGCACTTATTAATAAGTATGCAAATTAAAGCACCACTTTCAGATGTTGCATACACGAAATTAGTCAACCTTTATAATTTAATTATACTCTTTAAATTAGATCCTAAGTATAATAACATTGTCCAGCTCTAAATTATCAAATAAAGGAATAGCAGTAGCTATATTATGCAATTCCATACCCTTAAAAATGCATACGAATACATTTTGAGATGAAAAAACTCTTCCACCTAAAATAAATAAGGGAGGATTTTGTGATACCTTTCTCCAGTCTCCTCTAACTGTATAAGCAACTACTTAAGCTCAAGGTATAACTAAAGGTCAGTTACCTAGCTACGCATCCTGTTTATGCATGTATAGATACAGGACGTATATGTTATTCTTCTTTTCTGGATTAGATTACATGAGCAATCCCTTTCTTCTTGTCTAAATAATTTCTCAACATTTTAAAGCATAATGTACTTTTATTTTATAAGAGGTTCCTATGATTTGCTCCTCCTTCTTATGAAGATTTTTAACTAATACTTGTCAAATAATTACAAAAGCAAACGACCATAAAATTCAATTACTGAATTTATGCAAGGTTGGGAGGCTCATTTTTCTCTGGTTATAAGTTAATTTGCACGTCGTCACCTCTTAATGAATCTTTGTGTTATTTTCTAATCATCAAAGTAAATTAGATGGTAAGCTGTTTTTATAATAAAATATATGTACATACCGAACTACTTGCAATGCTTGTGAGAGATACATACTTGTATCCATTCTTAACAATCGTGTTTTCGATTGCTGGATATCTTGTTTGATAAAATTCCAGGAGAGTTACATGATAGACCCAACATGCGGTTGCAAAAAAGTGATTTCCAAATTCTAATGCTTAATTTAAGAAATATTGTATGAGACCTGAATTCTACTACTATAATATTTCCAAAAAATTAAAAATAACTAGCAGTTCTCTAACTTTGATGACTACATTCTTGGAATTATGGTAATAACCCCCCCCCCCCCCCCCCCTCC